GGATACACATTCAATACCTCGAATGGTTGTGAGTTCTGCTACCGACGCGGTTTCTTTCAGCTCTTTTCATTACCGACCAGGTTTTTGACGATATCTTTTGTTTATTAGTGAGTCAAACGCCGTGAATAATTATACTTTAACCCGTCATTGACACCAGATTGAAAAGATTTTTGGAAAAGAATAGACGAAAAAAAATTTAGATTTCTTACAATAAATTGATTAGATCTTCTTTCTATTATCACTTCTCATTAAATTTGAATGGGACAAGTTCTTTTTGTATCCCCGTCATTACCGCTCGGTGTTGAAGCATATTGAATCGCGTGAATGAGGACGTGTCAAGGGGGTTGGTCGACTATATCGCAGACTGTACATTAAGGGGGTGGACGTAGAACGCCCCCCGCACCGTTCGCAACACGAAAGCCGCATTTCAGCGGCCGCCACCGAGAAAGCCAACTATCGGCGTTGCTTCGCTGCAATTTGCAATTAAATTTGCCGGGCACGCGTGTACCAATACGGCGTTTCAGCAACTCAAACACGTGTTCGTCGTGTTCAGCGTTGAAAGGTATCCGCTGACGACGAGATTCGAGGAGCGACGTTGTCAAAAGTTTCTAACTGACGTTCGTAGCAACTGAAGTAAGGGGTGTGTTTTGTACTTACCTGATGTTAATCGAGCTATAAGGATCTTCGTGTTTTGTACAAGTACGAATGAGATTAGTTATAATTTGATAAGTTGATGTCAGTTTGCATTGTTTCTGACAAGTAAGACTTCAAATTGCGGACGATTTAAAGAGATTTAATTCAATTTTTTATTCTTTATACATATAGCTGTGTACATCATGAAGCTCTACTCAGCACATTTTTAGTGCAGTTTAGTTTTTCATACGCTGCTCTGTTTCAGTTAAGAAACAAAAATCTTTAAGGCGCTTATATTGCTGGATATCAATCAGGTTTTGTTGAATATTAGAAGTTTTTGAATACTATAGATGATAGAAAATCCCAATTGAAAAGATAAAAGGGTCAGAGTGTCGTTTGTTTGTTAAATCAATTTCAATGCATATTTTTTAGTGTAATTCTATTGTAATGGAACGACTTTACCCAATAATTCAAAGAATTCCAGAACTGAGACAGTCTTCTCTCCTGTGACCGAATTTTTGGGATAAAAAAACCTAAGATTCATAAAAAATCTATACTTACACCAAGAATATTTCAAAATACGCAAGAATATTAAATGGTTTCAGACATTTCAGAATTGGAGGGCATACTATTAGTTGGGAGAAGATTTACTCTTATCAAGACCGAATGAACGTAGTCCTGCTCTGACCAAAATTTGATCAGGACACTGCCGTTATCCGCAGTTGGAGTAATCAATCTACAGAGTACAATGAAAATCCGCGTATTTCCTCCAGTATCGGCAGTCAATCTGATAACCAGCACTCTTATATGCATTAAGTAAACGTCCTTCCTTTATAACAAAGCCAGGTGTTTCTCAAGAGATTTTGTGCTGTCCTTAACGTTATCGTCTAAAATAATAAGTTTGGAATCGTTGGTTATTTTTCATGTTTGTGAAATAACACGTCAAGTTGAAGTAGGTCTTCTTTAGTTAGTATTATTTCCAGGTTCATCGTAAATTAATTAAAAAAATAAAAACTCTTAGAGACTATGAAAATGTATTTAATTTTTATTTTCGGTGTTACATATGTTTCGATCGAACTATGCGATCTTCATCTGGCACGACTAGATACAGAATAGAATAAGGTTTTGTTAAGACATCAGTCTGTTAGAAAAAATAAATTAAATTAAATTTACCGTCAAGATTGTCGATTATAGAAACAAAGCTTCAGGTTGAAATATTTGACAATACAATATGTACAGTTAGAACTTGAAACGGTAAAAAATCAAAGGGCTTAATATTAGACAATGAAACAAGTTAAAATTCTGGAAAAGATGGTTACAATTCTTTGTTGTTGGGTGTAGGTCTTCTTCATGATAATGAATCGTCATCCAACCTGATTTAACGAAGAGCTTTGTAGATAGAAATGTACGAGACAGTATCAAAAGACTTAATGACTGAGATGTATGGTTTCTTAGCATGCCTATACAGCTTTTTAGGCACGTTTAGTCGCACTTCGTCTAATTTTTTAAAGTCTCTTTGGTGAGGGTGAAGATGAAAACCACTCGGATCAAGGAGAAGAAACTTACAGATGAGTATTCATAAAAGCTTTTTGTTCCTTAACTAAAGTCTGTACAAGAAAATTCGGGGGCTCGAAAAGTATGCTGGATTTATAGCCCTGTATGCAGTTGTCGTCAAGCGACTGAGTGGTAATGTGGGTGCAGGTTTTATGACAATATTGAGCCATTTTTCAAACGCATCAAGGACCTCCCGAAGCCATTTTTGACGGAATTAATGTTTCCTAATCTGATTTGTAAATCGGTCGCCAGGATGACCATTTCTTTTCTTTTTCTTCCTCTTATAATATTTTTCCTTCAGTGTCTTTATGTCAACTTTACTGTTTTTCTTTGTTTGTTGGTTATTCTTTTTGCTGGGTGAATTAATACTTTTTATTTTCGGCAATACAAGGTTGTGGTCATATTCTCAAGTGTAGTATTTTACTGGGATGAATGTTTCTATACTAATAATTAACAAGTTAGTTGTATTCTTGTTATGTTATGACTTATGTACAATTTTCATAAAATCTCTGGTATGTCAGAACCTTAACAGACAAGTATAGGGTCACGTACTGTGGAGTTGTAGTCTTCTATTCAGTTGTATTGAGTATTTTTGCTAATGAAATTGTTAAAGCGGTAATGATAAAGAGCGATATAAGTAATGACAAACCATTTGGGAATATCTGAGGAGTGTATCACACAAGTATAAAAGATGAAGTACAAAAAAATGTGCAGCCATTGCCAATTTGAATTTAAGAGCAGTAAGAACCGTACGAAAAAGTTCTAATAAACCCCTTGCGTGGGACTCCCTGGTTTAGAAATTTTGGTTTTAATTGTCCAAATGATTTTATATGTCCGAATGTTAACAATAGATGAAATGGTACCTACTTTGGGAGGGAGAAATTTCAAACAACAAAGCTCATCAAAGTCAAATTAGTGTAGCGAAGATTATTTGCTTTGCATGATGCGGCAAGACTCAATATTTGTGATGGAAAACAGTTAGAGGGGCCGTATTGAATGTTCAAATAAGTCAAAACATGTAATTTTTAGAATATGTTATTAAAGTAGTAGTTCCAGTACCAATTTTATATCGGTGCAACCGTATACGTAATGTATGATATGGAAACAAATTGTTAGAAACAGAGAAAATTAATGAAAATATTACTGCTTGAAGAAGCGAGTAATACATTGATCAGATTAAATATATTAGAAGTAGAGACGTATACTTGATTTTAGACTTACAGAATCTAACAAAGCAGATACTGCAAATTTGTAAAAATTTTTACGGCGATATGTTACTAGTCTCCGATTAAGCTTTCGATTTTCGCAAACATTTGCTGTTTTATGGCAACTTATCTTGAATCAAGTAACGTCTAAAAGAGTCACTCATTAACAACGTAACTCTGCACGTCTTATTTGACTTTCCAACCATAAATGTTTGGTTTGTATGCTACATAGCATTTTGTGATACTGAAAAATTCCATTTTCAAAACCTCTTCTCTATCCTATGGGCAGAAAGTTGAGGAGGTCATTCTCATCGGGGGGGCGTGTGTTATTTGTATTATGTGATAACACAGTCCTTCGGGTCCTGCGGGTTTGACATGATTTTTAGCATTTCATAGGTGTAAGTAATTTAAGAATGTTTGATATCTTAAGCTCTCTCTTGACCAGGATATCTTCTCCTCAGAGTTCGATCACAGAACGCATATATTTTCTGATACTTTCATAGATTTTATCTAGTGGACACTATTAAATTGACTGAATTTAACAATTGAAATTTAAAAAAAAATTATTCACATATTGTGATAAATGATTGTGTGGTTTCAACTATAGTGACCGAAATAGGAATACTGTTACAAAAATGTGTAACGGACTTCGAACATCAATAAACGAGTGGTTCTACACCACCAGTCGATAGCATATTCATAAATTATAAGCGTCCTGTAAAATATGTACACAATATGTTACCATGGTGAGTTAATAAATCACCGCAATCACACGGTCTAGTGAGAAGTAATAACGTTCCTATAAATTATTCGTTATTTACGCCGCAGTTAAACGGAATTTATAATGTCGTTGGTTCGGGTTAATGTCAAAAATCGACAAGATCGGCGCGGAGGTAATTATGGTGTGTACCGTTAATTAGAACTAAAGGCGTTTGTGCACGCGATTTGTTTTGTCATGCGCTTCGAAGTACTTTCAGGTTCTAATCAGTGTTTGCACTAAAACGATAAATTAAAATGATTATTTTTTTTTAATGAATTCGTGTTTGTTATAAACGATAATTAAGTTTGTTATTAATTTAAAGTGGCATTTTTTTTATGAATCGCTATTATTTTTTTCAACACAACAGTTTTTCTAAACTTGAGTTGATATAAAGACAAAATAGGTCGAATAAAACTATTTTATAGTTCCGTCGTTATTTTGATGAATCAAAAAGAGTAGTGAAATTTTTCAGCACTTAATGGCCCGTATTCAAGAGAAATTTATTGTACCCGTTAGGTTAACTATTTCATAAAATACCAAATGGGTTTATGAGACATTAAACTGTGTTCTAAATTCTAGAGAAAAGCGTGTGAAACGGCATCAGAACTCAAGTGATGTGTTTTTTATTATTTCGTTCAAAATTAAATTACATCCAATAATAATTATTTTACAGTTATTTATTATTTTATTACATTTATCCCAATTATTTCAATTTATCACAACAAATATAGAAAAAGAATGGTGACAATAAAATTTAAAATTAAATTCGTATTACAACGTTTTTATGTGGGTAAAATTAGGTATATATAGGTAATAGAAATGATATTTAATAGATATAAGATTCGAACCTGAAAGCACGTTCGGCCACGTGCTGAAGGTGGTTGTTGGAAAGGGTCAGGGAGTGCACTTGGCAGCCTGCCAAACTCTCCGCTTCCAAAGCCGGGACGTTGCTACCGGCTACCTCCAACTGTTTGATGTCGCCCTCTGGGAGATCTGCAACAAACAACTGTCGTTACTGCACCAGGTCGTTTTAAACCATTCGACATTAGATTATTGTTTGCGGATGCGAGATATAAATAAGCAACATGAGATTAAATTACACAATTATTTATTGAAATTGTACGATTACTTTTCGCAGAAACTTATTTAAACATTATTATTGTTATCACTTATATAAAGACATCAAGCGTATGTTCCTTTTAATTGATTGAGATCTTGTTCGAAACGTGTGCGCACATATAATAAATGTTGATGATATACTATCTGACGACTTATTACCTTTAGAGTGAATGCGTGACTAAACCCCACAAACCGTGTCCTCGCAAAGAAAGCGTAACAATTATTTATAGTGTCTTTTTTTATTGATTCCACTTTGAATATTTACGGTCGTTGTTTAAACGACGAATAATTTTAATATCTATTCGGCTATAAACGTTAATCATCAAAGACGAACATCGGATTCGTCGAAGTTTATAGGGTAATTCCAACTTCGATTCATCATTTATCCTAGGTACCTAATAAACCAAACACAAATGTAGTCATTAAGGTAGTAATTATTTTCTTGAATCACGACATAAACTGAATATAATCAAAATATGTGTAATCGGGCATTATCTATACCTATAAATAATTTATAGGTAGGTATACCGCAAATACTAATTAATTAGATATTTCAAAGAAATTTTCAATTAATATGTAACGGGAAATGTTTTCGTAATTATCCATACATTTTAAACGTGTAGAATTGAATCTGGCCGAGCATAAACCACAGCTTTATGAAATACATAAAATATATCCTAACACACATTAAATTATGCAAAGCTTTGTATTAACGTACAGATAAATTGTTATATTTGGTCGAGCATGCAAACATTAGAATGCTTTAATAATGGAATGGGAACTAATGGACTTTGTTTTAAATATTCGTGCTTAGTGAATTCGTGCATATTAACTTTGAATATTGATTCATTTCCGATTTCTATTACAATATTTTATTAATAACGCATTTTATATTAATGGTATAATTATGGGATTAAGAAATGATAAATATATAACAGGATTTAATTACTATATTTAATTTTAATTAAATTTTAATAAATAAGAATCAAATATATATTTTTTGAAATATGAAACATTTTTAGTAGTATAATATTATTCTACGGTTTGTGTGATTTATTATTCATATGTTTCCATCTATATATTTTTCTTCTGATCAACGACACCAAAACCTAAAACTATGTAGTACATCGACTACCAGCGATTAATAATATTCAGTAGAGGACTGGAATTGAAGTGCTTGAAGATTCTAGTCGGAAAAAAATATCAGCGATTGAAGATTTTAAGGATCGGTGCATAAGGCACATATAAATAAGTACTATGTCAAACACATCTTCCATTATTATTCTATTAAAATGAAGAGACACTTGATTAGGTAGGATTACTTAAGATCATCATCTTTCAGTAAAAACGAATGCTTTAAAAGATACAAATACCAGCTTATGTTTTGATAATATCGCTTCCTTAAAGTTTACTCAAGCATTATTTGAATTTATTATCGAATTTCATTAAATGATATTTAATGAAACCCTCTATTCAACTCAATATGATAGAATAGAGATATTGTGATGGTAAATGTCTTCGGTTTAATAGCAGGTAAATTCAAAGTGATTGAAACTAAAACATTAATTTTAGTGATAATAAGTAAATAAGACATTTTGTCGAGTAAAAAATCTTGCTATACCAACTTTTTCCTGGTTAAATAAAATTAAACAACTGCAACTGCAGAACTAATTGAGATATTGTGGAGAAATAAAAAGTGTTTTAAAGCTAATTTAATGTTGAGTTAATACATCAAAAATTATTTAATTATTTCTATAAATCTTGTCGTCACGATATTTAGAATTTGCCGTTACATATAACGTTAGAAGTTGGGTTGGATTGGGTTGAGTTGGGTTGGGTTGGGGATTAGTTTCTGTCAAAGTTCAAACATTTAAATCCCAAGAACTAACTGGGATATATTATTAAGAATAAAATTTGCTACAACATTTGTTCTACAAGTTTCCAATTCTTTCCAACAAAATTCCTTTTGTTAAAAAAGCAACAAATTCATCCAATTTTCATATTTTTGTATATTTCTAATATGGTATATACGATTCCCTAGTGTTACCATTAACAACTTGTAAAATAACAAAAATCATCAAATTTTCATGTTTATCTATTTCTCGCGATATGTAACGCATTCGAGAGCAAAACTACAAGAGAGCAATATTATTGAGAATAATATTTGCTACAACTATTGTTCTAAAAGTTTTTTTGTTACATGCTCCGTTTTCTAAATGTTACCATTAACAACTTGAAATAGCAGCAAGTTCATCCAATTTTCATGTTTTCGTATATCTCTCAATATTTACGCCTCTGCGATCAAAAGTGAAAGAGAGCGATATCGTTAAGAATAAAATTTTCTATAACTTTTGCTCTAAAAGTTTTTTTATAACATGCTCCGATTTCCGAGTGTTACCATTGGTTCTAAAACAATGAAATTCATCAAATTTTCATATTTTCGTATTTTTCTCGATATCTATGCATTCGAGAGCAAAAGTACAAGAGAGCAATATTATTAAGAATAACATTTGCTACAACTTTTGTTCTAAAAGTTTTTTATAATATGCTCCGTTTCCGGAGTGTTACCATTACTAACTTGTAAAAGTAACTAATTTCTCCAATTTTCATGTTTTCGTATATTTCTCAATATTTACGCATCTGCGAGCAAAAGTGAAAGAGAGCGATATTGTTAAGAATAAAATTTTCTATAACTTTTGTTCTAAAAGTTTTTTATAACAAGCTCTNTAAAAGTTTTTTTATAACATGCTCCGATTTCCGAGTGTTACCATTGGTTGTAAAACAATGAAATTCATCAAATTTTCATATTTTCGTCTTTTTCTCGATATCTATGCATTCGAGAGCAAAAGAACAAGAGAGCAATATTATTAAGAATAATATTTTCTATAACTTTTGTTCTAAAAGTTTTTTTATAACATACTCCGATTTCCGAGTGTTACCATTGGTTCTAAAAGAATGAAATTCATCAAATTTTCATATTTTCGTATTTTTTTCGATATCTATGCATTCGAGAGCAAAAGTACAAGATTAAGAATAATATTTGCTACAACTATTGTTCTAAAAGTTTTTTTGTTACATGCTCCGTTTCCTGAATGTTACCATTACCAACTTGAAAAAGTAACAAATTCATTCAATTTTCATATTTTCGTATATTTCTCAATATTTACGCTGCAAGCAAAAGTAAAGAAGAGGAATATTTTTAAGAATAAAATTTGCTACTATTGTTCCAAAAAAATTTTTGTAATATGGACCCAATCCCAGGTGTTACCATTAACATCTTCTACATAAGGTTTCTTTTTTTTTTCTTCTTTTTTCGGCTCTTATTGATATTTCTTTATACTTAATTTGTCTATCTTCAAATTTTATACAGGTTTCAGAATCATTTTGATATTTTTTTATTTGTATTGATAAATATTAAAGGCATTAACACTCCATCTTCATACTTTTAAACACAAGAAATATGTTTCATTTTTATAACAATAATCTATTCAATTTGTACTTGTTGAATTCTTTATATATTAGCCTATTTATTCTTTTATAAGAGGTGGTTTAATATATTATGAATAGTTCGCCTCTTTTGTGATTCACCATCAAAATAAAATCTATATTTTGCAGATTTGAACTCATCGTCCATAAAAAAAGTACACATAGTATACATATTTCTCGAAATATATACATTCGTTGTAATTTATATTCAACTCATGAAACGGTATAATATCTTAGCTCGTTTCCATCCTAATTTGCGGGTACGGCCTCGGCCCGTTTGCGACCACTGATCCAACAAATTAGTATCAGCGGTTTGCCAGTTCAATAAGCGGTCTACTTAGCCGTGATTAAGCGTTGGATGGAAGGACGTCAATACGTGAACTAGTTGTCCCGGAAGTTTTCTAACTGATGCCAGGATGGCACCCGAAACGAGCACCCCATAACATCTTAGTCCGAGTTGCCGGAAGGGAGGCGAGGGCAAGAAGTTTCTACGGAGTTTGAACGGCAGATCTGGGCCCAACCTTCTCATTTCCGCGTGCACAGCCGCATAAAACTCTTGGATACGGAACGTCGCGGCTGAAACTATTCGATAATATTTGCGGTAGTCGGAGTTTGCAGAGAAGGGGGTTCGCAAAAGATTTCATCGTGATCCTGGATTTATATAGTCGCCTTCAAGACGACTTGTGATGGAACCTTTACAAACAGTCTTTTATATTTAATGAGTAATGGATTTTTTATTAAAATTTGTATCGAAGCGATTTTAAATTCGTAAAGTTTCTTTTTGGTTAGTTGAAAATCCGATTTACGGCATAACACATGTTGCCACGACAAATTGGGCAGATGTCAGTCAACTCCTTATTAGCAATCTCAACAACGGCCGATGTCGGCACATGTGCGCTGCGGATGTCACGAAGTTTGCTCAGAACATCGCTTCGGATGCCGACAAAGTTCCGCGCCCCCATCCACCAAATTAGTTCGGTACAGTTGTAACGCGGCGGGCCCCAACTATTCGTAACACGGATTCGTCTTCTTTGACATCGACCTCAGCATAATATTTGTTCGTTTTAGATGTGCTTTTATTTCATACGTGAAATGTTTACAAAATTAATATCATCCATCAAATATATAAAATTTAATCTTTGGGGGTACTTAGTTTACCGATTCAACTATTAATATCTCCTTTGTTAAATAGACATTTGTGTAGGTGTGTCATACTTTGCGTTTTACTGCTTTAATCTCGTAAAATTTCGAACAATTTCGCGTATAAAATACGCGCCCTTTGGTGCAGAAGCGAATTTCGAGTAGTTAATTTTCCTGAAGTTTATAGTGATCTGAGTTTAAGTATACGAAGTTCCAAGACACTACAAAATATGCATACTATCGTATAA